CTGTCGTACTCTGCATTCTGCTCTAGGATTCGTGGATTTCTCTGAGAGCGCCGTTATGCTGGATGGCTTCGTCCGCATTGGAAGAAGCTTTCTTAGTGCATTAACACACTGGGACCCAAGACAGCCGATAGTATGAGCCAGGCTGGTTGAATGCCGTAGTAATTTTTGGCAGTATTTGCTAGTGGCATTGTTGTGAGAGGGCGATTGGCCTCTGGTCCACAATAAGACTTAAATAAGCTTGAATTGGATGAAAGTGAATCGAATTGAATTGCGTTTATGGGAACAGAAGTCTCAGTTGTTGTGTTGTGTGTGTACTTTCGGTTCACCCGGTCCTCTTATGAAGACACACCGTCAGTTCTTCACTGGCTCTCCATCATCGTCGTTGGCAAGGTACTCCATTATGTGCTGGTTTGGGTCTAGGTTCTCAGGATTGCACCTTTGAGGCATGACGAGAGTCACAATAGCTGAGGCCGATCGAACAAAGTTGATCAAATCATCGTGAGATGATCAGGAACGAAGCCGACATAAGAGGGTTCTACACATGAGCATTGTCATGAGCGCGCGCCCGATCGATCGACGTCGTCGTTTATACACAACAGGTGAGTCAGGCACATATTCGTGGTCTTTTGGAGCCCACTAGTTACAACAACAACCTCAGAATCCATTAAGGAACTACAGGTTCATCGTTGTTCGGCTTTTATTTTACATAATTCCCGAAAATGCAGGTATTATTCCCCAAAATAATTCCTTAATTCCCTTCCCTGGGAATATTCCCGGGAATAATAGGTATAATTCCCCACTTTCAGCCACCCTGATATAAGTCCGACGGTGTACCTTCAGCTCACCAGCATCCGACAGCCCTCCCAGAGACACCATCTCGAACCTCCTCCCAAGGGCCTTCGCAATACTCCCAGCAATTGAAGTCTTCCCACAGCCCGGTGGACCCACTAAGAGTAACGGTCTAACCTGTCTAGTCGAAGGATGAGACATCTTGCCCAACGCCCACAACTCTACCACTCTCTCCTTAACTTCCTCCAAACCATAGTGAGTGGCACTCAAACTCGAGCGCACTGCAGAGAGGTCGACGACGCCCTCAGTAGAAGTCCACGGCAATGAAAGGACAACGTCGAGATACTGTCTTGTTACTGCGTACTCTTGCGAGCTCGGCTCAAGCTGACTTAGCCTCGTTAACTCCTTCTCAAACACCCGTCGAGTCCTATCACCAGTATTCCCAAGAGGGATCTTCCTCCCCAAATCGATCAGCTGATCGATATCCTCTCTATTCTTCTCGCCATCACCAATCTTTCCACGAATAAGATCACCAACCCGTCTCGCAGCGAGACTCTCGCTCGAGCTACCAGACTCCTTTCCTCCAAAAGAGATACCTTTTCCTCATCAGAAATTGTCAAGATCTCCGCTAAGGCATCGGGCATCCAATGGAGATCCTTAGCCTCGCATCTCGCTAAAGCTTGCAGTGCAAGCCTTGCACCCATTTCAACGCGAATTTCGAATCGCGAGCAGCCAATTTCTCGCATTGCCGCAACTCGACGAGCCTGGCTCTGACTGAATCTATCAGTAAATATCTGCAATAGTAATAGTGCATGAACAGCGCAGAACGACGGTTTCGCTGAAACCAACTCCGATGGCCTTAGGTATTCTCAGGATAGCAGTTATTGACTGATTCTACCTTTGATGATAGCCTTCACCTGGATAACAGTTCGGGTTTCACCGTGAACAAAAAACAACAGAATAGCTAAGCTCAAAATCTATCATTACGCGAGCGAAATTGAAGATCGGGCACGCACAAAGAAGACAAGAAAGATATCATTATTTGGGAGTCAACTTGATGAGAAAGAACACCACTCGCAGGGCGGGATCCTAATGTGAGCGAGAGCACGAATCACAAGGGAAACGGTCATCAAGAGGATGACCGTTACTCAAATCGGAACCCTTGGCTGGAAGTAAATTGCAAGTCCACCCCAGAAAACAAAGGATTGCGGGTGAAAACGGAGAACGGGAAACCCGAAACCCCACCAGAAACCCGACAGGGCAACCCGAAACCCGAACTTTTACCCAAGTGAAGGCCATCATCCGCACTGCGGATGATGGCTTGCAATAACACTCAACATCAATACACTCAACACTGTTGAGTGTATACTCCGAGCTGAAGACCGCTCGGACTTTGTCAACTGCGTGAAGAGCGCTAAGAAGGGCTGCCACATATGCTTGTGGTCCCCAACAGATGAGGTCCATCGTCATCCGGTTCAAGCTATTTGTTTCATCCTATTCGAAGTAACATTTGCTCTCCTACGTAGATGTACATTTCAGCATCTACAACACTCTTCTGGACTGCACTTCGAGAGCACTCATTACATCCTTGGTACCCTCGTCGCTAAACAGTGGCCGGGGACCTCGATTATCGGCGTCCCAATCGGATGTCCACTGGACGAGCAGGATGAGCAGGAACTCTTGGAGATTTCATGCCCGTGGAAATTACATCTATGTTGGTGGAGGTCAAGTTCTATGATATATTGCCTAGCCCAGCCTGTCTGCGTAATCTTGCTCTCTCATCAACCGGAGAAAGTTCTGTACGTAGACAGCTGCGGTCACTTCTCTCAGCTTGTCGGTCTGGCCGCCTTTCAAACTTCTGAAGGCGCGCTGGAGTGGAGCGGTCTGGGGATGGGCCATCCCGGATGGCAGATTCCATCCGCGTAGTTGATACGTGGAAGTCGCCGGAGTTAACTAGGTTAGTGAATTCAAGGATGGCTGAGGCTAAGTGGCGTGTTGCCTCTGCCTCAAGGGGTGTCATTGTTGGATGACCCCAAACGACGTTTGGCAAACGTCAGCTGCTAGGCTAGCGGTGCTAGCTAAAGTCGAGTCTACGGTCCACCGGCGTGTTACGCGTGCACGCTTGTACTAGGCTAGTAGGGTTGCTGAGCTTCGTCGACAGATTGCTGTTTGCCGGATCGAAGGGGAGCGTGTTATCACACAACTCACTGATGCCTTCCCTGTCGTGAGGGATATGCCTAAGCAGCTTTCCCTGTCTATCTCTATGTCGGCTGTTACTCGGTATTCGCAGGAGAAAGTCATGGGGGTGAGCCAGATACCGATCGACTCACTTGAGGTTAGGCAGGAGATTGAGTCCCTGTAGGCCGCTATTAGGGAGGAGAAGCTATATAAGTATGTATCCCGCCCTGAACCGTCAAGAGAGTTGAACGCCGCGGCGTACGCCATCTTGGATGACTTGGATACGGCGCCTGATCTTCGTACATGCACAGAGATAGTCTCCGGGACTCCCGGAGATTCCCGGACCGGGAGATTGAACGCTTAGCTGTAAGCTCCTTACAAGGTCGAGTCTGATTGATATTGGATACATTAAGTGTCAGGATATTCATGGTGAGTTGCGAACTCCTTCTGAGAGTGATTTACGAGTAGCAGCAAGTGCGGAGGCATCGACTTTGATAGCTTGTACAAATGGAACTCAATCACCATTCGAGCATCTTACAGTAGGTGTGTTTCGAGAGTTAATACAGCCCGAAATTCTCCTCCTTTCGGACTTTTAGAGAACCTCACTTCGAGTTCTACACCGCCGGAGGAGTTTGGGCGGGGTTTGCGGGGGAGTTTATGGAAAGGCTTTCCAGGAAAGCGTCGGTATACACTGGTGGGTTTCCGCTGTGTACATTTTGTAGCAGGATGGGCTGAATCTCGTGACTGGCGAAGTCCCTTGTCGTGTAAGATGACACAATGATAACACAGTCTCATCACTGTGTCATTGCGACGGTCGCAATGCGACCGACCTCTATAGACAGAACGCAACATTCACAGATATGGAAAAACATGAATCATGATTTTAGTCATCAGCAACAAAGCGGCTAATGAAAAAGCGTAGAGCTTCTGTCCGCTCATCGGAAAAAAGTGAAATAATTCATTCATGGGATGTTCAATAGAGTTTATTGAATAACCATTGTTTATCAATAGCTTGAGTTCTATCCTCCAATTTCGAATGTATTCCATAGTAATAGGGACCGACAAGGGTCAGTGGAGTGAAACAGTGAATGTTTATTACGCCAGCTGGTACTATGGATAATCCACACTGTGGATTCCACAGTTCCATCTGGTAATGGCATGAATCCGTCGGAGTGTGCAACGCCCAACGAAGTTCGTCGGGATATTCGTTGGCCCAACGTTAATATCGTTACCATATT